TGGCTCAACCAACCAAAGCTCAGCTTCAGGCTCAGCAGCAAACAAAAGCTCAGCTGCAAGCCCAACTCTCCCAGCAGACAAAGCTCAGCTTCAAGCTCAACTCGTCCAACATGCAAAATCACAAATGCTCACCCAGCAAGCGAAAGCCCAGCTTCAAGATCAGTTAGCAGCTCAAGCAAAAGCACATTGGCTGCACAGCAGTTGAAAGAGTCCAAAGCTCAGCCAAGTGCTGCCCAAATTTCAGTTGCCCAACAGGCTCAACAATTGGTGCAAGCTCATCAGAGTTTCCCGATGAGTATGAGGAACTACACGAGACCTCTCCAAGTGTCTTCCGTTGCGGGAAATCTGGTAAACCGGCTCCGGTTTACAGGCCGGCAGTTCCTGTTCCGGCATTCCAGGTAATAAAAAAGTTTACTAGAAAATATTATGTTGTGTCTCTTCATTAATTATGCATAATTGATTTCTTCAACTTTTTTAATGAAAAACTCAAAGTATTAAAAAATAAAAGCTTTGTGGGTAACTCTGCAGGTCCATATGCACACGAAGACTTAAAAAATATATTATGAATTTCTAAAGGCTTTCACAATGTTAATGATCAACATGTGTTCAAACATTTTACTTGTATTCATTTATTTAAATATTTCTAAAATCGCTTCAAAATATATTAATTTGTTATTGTAATAGTGAGTTTTGAAAACTGAATTGTAATTCCTTTTTATATTTTTTTTGTTTAAATTAGTATATTTTAAAAATAAAGTCTATTTACTTTGAAATATACTTTTATCCATATTTATTTTTATTATAATATTAATGTTACGTAGCTTTATTTCTACTATTATTATATATTATATAGGCGATGCCCGAAGCAGTATCTCGCATATCAACCGGTCCAACAGTCTTAGTCGACAACAGCCTCGAGAACCAAGTCAAAAACTCCATAATTCCTGCAAACCATCGTCCAATCGATCCAATGCAAGAACCTTTACCATCTCGGCCACCAGTCAAATGGGTTTCAAGCTCTCGCCCAATATTGGTGACCCCGGAACCAACGTCCTTAAGTGGTCCTGCTTTATCCAAATTGGAGATCAAACCCGAACTTTTGGCGAATGGTACTCATCTCATGGGTCATAGTGTTGAAGATTTGGCTGCTGCTACAAATATTTCGGTGGAGACGATACAAGCAGCAATTTTGTTGAGGCAACAGCAATTAATGAATCAACATAAAGTAGCAATTTCTACGAGGAGGCCGATAACTACTACGAGTACGACGACTTTTAGACCGATTGTCTTGCCATCACAAAAAATCGCACATAAACAGGTATTTTAAATATATTAATAATTATACCAATATTTTTTTATTTTTTTTTTATTCTAAGTTCTTATTAATAAATGTTTAGTGTGAGGCTTACGTTGCAATTATTTATGTTTCAAGTTTGTTTTTGCTAGAAAATCCGAAATACTAACTTTGTATTCTTCTACGTGAGATATTTCGAATCATTTAATGCCAATATTGAAAAAAATAAGTGTATGAGAGCCAGAATTTGAACTTTTGTCAACGTTTTCTCAAAAATGGATGCAAGGATTTTATAACTTTGAAAGTCATTGATGAAATTCGACAATGACTAGCTTTGATTAGTTTGGCAACACGATCGTCCGAACCGTTTTTTGAGAATTAGCAGATATGTTCAAAAGTTTTTGTTCACGTTTTAGCCGAAATTCCAGAACCAAATTTAGAAATTCAAAAAAATTTCAAAAGATATCACGTTGTGGTCGTCTGACTCGATTTTTTGTAATTAATTGCTGAATTTATTTTTACGATTTTGATATGGATGATGGAGGTTGGAAATTTTAATTATCTATATTTTAAAATTTATAGTAAATGAAATGAACTCTTTGTGAAATATAGACAAAAACTTGACAATTTTTTAACGACACTCGAACAATTACGTGATCCTTGAATATTATGATGTAACTAATTCCAACCAACTATAAAGACAATTTTTTTATTTATGTAACAATCAGAATAAAGTACGTAATTCTATGAGCTACATTAAGAACATAATCTAAACAAATCTATAATGTAAAGTAAAGGAAAAAAAGAAATAAAAATAAATAACTAACTATAATAATAATAATAACATAAATAGAAATAATAATAATGAAATTATTAAAAGAAAAAATAAATCAATGAATAAAAAAATATAATAATAATAATAAATATAATAATAGAATAGAAAACTGTTCCATTGATCAGTTAACTAATTAATATAAATCATATGGAAATTTCCTCTTCATATAAAGACAATATGATAGAAATGTATTTTATTTCTGATCACTGCTTATAGTAAATCACTAAACGTTGTTCCTATTACTATCCAATGTATTTAATTTTCTTAATCAATATCTCTTACTTAATGTTACAGAAAATAATAAATAAAAAATGGATCGCGTGCTTAATAAGTTCATCAGCAACGCAACTGGTTTCGGCAGCAATCGATTATAAATGAATATGATTTAGAAAAACCTAAAAACACTATGACACAACCTATATTTCTAAAATGCTAAACTACTACGTACAGAAATAATTACAAACAAAAACTCAAATTCTTAATAAAATAATTACCATGTGATCATTCAATGTTCTTCATTCATAATTTCTCTTATTGCGCAAATACAAATGCAAATCGACTGATCAAAGCCATACGTTAAAGTCAACTTCGAAAGATTTCTAATATTGATTTTAAGTAGTATATAGAAACAATAACTAATTAATCATAATCGTTATGCAATTTGTTGGTATACATGAAAAGTAAATGTTGTATTGCGAAAGTTACACCATTCGATGGTTTAATTGAATCGTCGTTACGTCTGTATAGAAACAGTTATTCAATAATGAGTAATTTGACTTCCGTTCTTTTGTATTTTAATTTATTGTCTACCATAAAAAAAATCATGAAGATGACATTCAATATTATAATTCAATGAGTTGCTTGCTTTATAATTAACTTCACTATAAGTAAACTGTAAGGAATAGTTTGTTAATGACATGGAATTCTATAGACATTTCTAGATGTAAGTGGCGTTTTTCCTCAAGTTGCATTAACTTTTAGATTTCTGTATGTAATTAACATAATTAATAAGACATTTTGATAATACAATTTTGACGTTTTAACGTGGCATTACTCCAAACTTCAATGATTTTTTCTAATTAAATCACTTTTTGTAGCTCCATAATATTTTGGAACAATCGTTAAGACAATTAACTATATATACAATTTTTTTAATTACAATATCTATTACAACTGCTAAATAATATAACATCTGGTAACGTAAGTGAATAATAACATACATATAAACTAGTGGGGGCATCGTGTCTTAAGGCAAATTGCTGGAACTTCCTGTACCAAAAAAAAATTTTTTTTAAAAGATTAACATTTTTAAAAAAAAAATTACTTTGAAAAAATTAGATTTATGAGAAACTATAAATTTTTGACAAAAATTTACTTTTTTTGAAAATAAGATTTTTTGAAAAAATGTTTTGATAATTTTGAAATATTTTGGAAATTTTGAACTTTTTATCAGAGAAATCGTACTGCTTTAACTACATAGAGACAAAATATCGAAGCGCATAAGCGCCGCGTCGCCGTCTAACGGATAAACATTGGTACGGAACCCATAGGAATGTAAATAAAATTTATACTTATTCTTAAAAAAATTTCTATAAAATATCTGATGATTTGATTTACATATGCCTAATGATCATTTTTGATCGCCAAATGGCGTTTTTTCAACTTTTTGACTAGATCTCCGAAACCGATCAATTATTCATCTTATCAATACAAGTAAAATGTTTTTTGATTTATTAAAATCGGACGCTCCGTTATCTTAAAAACTGAGTTACCATTTTTGGCAATTTTACCCCGTATCTTCGGAACGGATAGACCTGCCTTCGCCAAAAACTAATCAGCAGTCAAGTAGTTTAGATATAAAACCTAACTTTAAAAACGCACAAACATCCAAAAAAGAATTTTGTCTTAACTGCATCTTTCTGATGCGTCATGATAACACGTACGTGAACTTAGGTTGTACATTTAAAACGCCTGATGATTGCGCAGCAAATACATAGCATTTAGACAGTTTTTACTACCAACATATATGAAAAAAAGCACCAAAACATAGTGTTGCCATAACAACGTGAGAATTGGTTTTATATTGGTTCCTTAATTTGAGAAAAAGTCACCTAAATTATAACTCGGTAGTAATTATAAGTCGTAAGTTATCGATTTGAAATTATAAATTTTGAAGAATACAACAGTATTATTAGATTTGTGTATAATATTTATGTAAAAAGTTCGACAAATTTTGTTAGCAGTTTGTTAAATGTAGGGATCACTCGAATAATAACATCCAGGACCTTGATCAATATTAGGGTTTGTCGGTTTTCAAAAACCGGTTTTAAAAAACGGTTTTTTGGCGAAAATTATGAAATTCGAAAACCGGTTTTTTAGTGAAAAAAGTCGGTTTTCACTGTATAAATAGAAAATGGCAAATATAGCCAAATATAAAAGATAGATGAAAGCGTTTTGATTCTTGAAATCATATCGCTTCAATAGATTTGATATCTTATCAGTCTGCAATGGTTTCCAGAAAGGTTTTGTATATAATAATTTAGATTTTTATAACAATGTATATATTAAATGAAATCAGTGTGACTTTTTCTTAAAGAAGTAACTTTCACTACTAAAGTTAAAAAAAAACGAGTTTTAAACTCTTGAAGCTACAAATAAAAGAACAAAAACTTAGAATTATTATATCAGGCTTTAAAAAACAATTAAGCATAATTTGGTCGCAAGTATGAGAGTATTTTCTATTTCAGAAAATTTAGTGGTAAACAAAGGACACGTCTAAGTAGCATTTCGATAGACGTTCTCAGTTTTTTGAAATCATATTTTATTAAACAAAAAAAAACAATTCGAATGTTTAAAATTAATTAATTAAAATTGCTTGGAACAGACAATATCCGAATTTAATATTTTTTTATTTTTTTTATTTGATGCATGTTTTTTATTTAAAAATGTATTATTTTTGTTATTCGAAAACTTTCCTTTCACTATCATAAAAATATTTTCATTTTTATATATATATATATATATATATATGTATATATATATATATATATATATATATATATATATACGAGGTGTGTTCAAAAAGTACCCGGAATTACTAATAATTAAATTTCGCGGGTCTGGAGTGTCTGATTGTCAAAATTTTTTTTATTGTGTTGGTATACATGCCCCTAAAGTATGATGAAATTTTCAGCTATATTCACTGTTTACTTTGTCTGTGGTAGTCGCTAAGGTTCGACGTGTTTTTCTGAGCTCGGCGATTTTTACAATGGAAGAATTGAAAAGTCAAAGAATTTGTATTAAATTTTGCGTAAAAAATGAAATAAAGTGTTGCAAAGTGCAAAAATTCACCAGATATGGCTCCGTGTGACTTTTTCCTATTCCCAAAGTTGAAGAGACCCATGAAAGGACGGCGGTTTTCCTCGATTGAAGAAAATCGCTGAGAGTGCTCAAGGACATATCAAAAAGTGAATATCAAGGGTGCTTCAAAAATTGGAAAAAACTCTGGCATAAGTGTATTATATCTGGGGGGAACTACTTTGAAGGGGACCACATTAATGTAGACGAATAAATAAATATTTTTTTGAAAAAACGAAAATTCCGGGTACTTTTTGAACAGACCTCGTATATATATATATATATATATATATATATATATATATATATAAATGATGCATGAATAACGAATTAAAATTGAAATAATTTTGTTTACTATCCATAAAATTGAACAAAAAATAAATTCAGTCAAATACTGCTCTAAATCACACCTTTGCGGATAAATTACAGAATATTCGAGCAAAAATTTATTTTCAATATAAAATTCGCAGACCGGCTAAAACCGGTTTTTTAGTCAAATTAAAATTCGAAAACCGGTTTTCTGAAATGTCAGTTTTTGTATAAACCTTAATCAATATACATGCGAAACAGTACGGTATGGCAAACTCTGTACTGATCTACCCATAGATGTAATTAGAACCTTTCTTTATTTTGCTAAATACTGATATGGGATCGTTTAAGTATTATGTAAGCAGATTTATTACAATTATTTATCCCCCCATCCCCCTTGTCAGCAAAAGTAAGCAAAGCTCTTATCCCCTACCCCCATGCTTACGTAAACATTTTGCAATTAATGTAAAAAAATAAAAATACTACCTATGACGTAATCATTATCCAGACTCCCCTGCCCCCCATGTCAACCCAAAATAAGCAAATCAACAACCCACCCGCCCCCCTATAGTGCTTACGTAATACTTGAACGGCCCCTATGTGATGTGATTTTTTTTAATATGGTCAAAACTATCCCATTTTTGTCGAAAAAATACAATACACTGTTTTCTAATAAATACTTTCAATAATTGTATATTATTATATACTATATATTTATTTTAGTATATTAATTAATGTATTTGCTTATAAAGCAGGTGTCGGCAACTAACAAAGTGATGAATGCACCACGTGAATATTATCCAGTTGGTTACGAGAAGAACTTCGACGACAATTTCGCGTCGAGAGTTGAGCTGCCTGAAACCAGCTTCTACTGCGGTGACCAGAAGCACTTTCCTGGACTATACGCCGACGAAGACCTCGGTTGCATGGTGAGTAATATCGAAGAAAATTTATTGACATTTTTGTAATAAAAGCATAAACTATATTAGTCCAGGCGCTATAGGACATAATATGAGGACCACCCAGCTTTCTTCCATTTTTTTTTTACCGGATATTTCAAATAAAATGAAAACTCATGTTGCCAGTTTTTTTCCTGTACCTGCCTTTTTTCTTTACTGATATACTCGATTAATGGCAAACAATTAACTTTATTATAAACTATTTGAATTTATTTATTCTCAAAATAAAAATTAATTGCTTATGAGCTTCGGCTTATTTCATATTTTCTTCAGGCTTGCTCGTAGGCAAGTGGGTAGAACGACTGGACTTGAATCAGAGGTCCAGGGTTTGATTCCACTTCGAGCAGCCTATTGTCAAGCAGTAGTGACAACAATTTTCACTTGGAAATATAGATAGCAATATGTTTTCAAGTGAAAGTAGTGAAAATTGTAGTAATAATATATCATACAGAGATGTGACAACTGTTTGGGTTGCCGTCTGTCGAACAGAGTAGTATTAAGTCAAAACAGCTCAACAGCTTATAGGACTGTTAAGTTATCATTGCTGTTCAAAAAAATTTTTATTTTTTGTAATATGCTGCTTTTTGGAATATGTACTAACAAACGTGGTTTTAGTTTTTTGACCAAGTCGTACGTTTTTTTCAAAATCACAACTTCTTAATGGTAATATGTCATACGTTTTGCGTTTTTTAAAATCACAACTTTTTGATTGTAATTGTAGAAACTTTGTTCTAACAACTTGGTCAAATACCGGTCATAGTCAATCAATGTTTCTTAAGGGGGGAAGTCCATATAACATTTTCAAAAAATTGTATTTTTTTTTAGATAATCTGCAAGTATACTATGTTGAGCGTATATTGACGAATCGAGAAAAAAAATTTTTTTATATTAACAAAGTTATAGCTACCAATCTTCTTAATTATAAGTACATATAATATAAAGGGTTTTTCATGGTTTTAAAATCATGCTGTAAAAATAGATGACTAATTTGATTTTTTTATATTATTATTATTATTCATTTTTGATTCATATACAAATTCAAAAATAACTTGATTCATGCAGAAGAAATTATAAGACATTATCAAATTATTAATTTTATTTGTTTTTGTCTAATTTTTTCAATGCACTGGTTAAAAGTTTCAAATGTTTTATGAAAAGCTGGCTTTGAGCAGAGGGCATATTACTTTGTGGGATTTATGTTATTAAAAAAAAGTGAGCAGATAGTAATATTTGTAATTATTGTAAGTTGTAGCAATTCTTTCAATAATTTACCAAATTCATAAGAATTTACCAAATGTTCTTTTGTACGTTATTGAGTATGTATTGGAGATACTGTTCTATTAATTTAAATAAATAAATACGAGGTACATGAATATTTAGTTGAATTTTGTTAACTTACCGTAGGGTGAGTTATAGTAATCGCAAAAAAAACGAAAATGAAAATTTGTATATATCTTTACGTTTCAGAAGTTTCTGAACATTTTGGCATGCTTATAATAATAAGTACAAATTGTATATATTAGGTTGTCAAATATCTCCCTTCCGCCTTTTTGTATTATAAACCAATAGCAAAAAAGCGGAAGGGAGATATTTGACAACCTAATATTTGTATGGGTTCCGATATTTCGACTTCAAATCAGCTATGCAGCGCGATTGCTGAAAACAAATGTTCAAAATTTGAAAAAAATAAAAAATAAAATTTTTTCAAAAATTTCAAAATTTCTCAAGAAACTAATTTTTCCAAAGTTTTGCAAAGTTTTTTTAAATAATTTAGTTTTTTGTACGGGAAGTTCTAGCAAATTGCCTTAAGGCACGATGCCATGCACCACTAGTTTATGTTTTCAATTTGGCAAGTTAGACGACTTTGATAAAATGTACTTAAAACTTTGTTAACCAAAAAGAACCGCTTGCACATTTCTTTACATCAATAAATGTTTAAACTTGTCTTTTCTTACCAGGTGTTCCATGTTTGTGCTTTGACCGACGATGGACTCATCATGAAATCCTTCCTGTGTCCTGAATCAACCTTATTCGATCAGACTATTCTGAAATGCAACTGGTGGTTCTATGTCGATTGCAAGAGTTCCAAACGATTATACGATTCGAATATACCAATAAGTAAAAGCTATCAGCTTATGAAAGCTTTGACTTTCTTTTCGAGTTATAAGAAGGATCAAGGACAAAAAGCCGAAGGACAATTTTCACCAGAGGATATAGCTAAGGAATTAATAAATGGTAGGATTGCTAACGTCGAATCGTAGAAATAGAGGTTTTTAGAATTCAATTTTTAAATGTTTTGGTTGATCCAAGATTATTTTTGATAATTTGTGAACAAATCTATCTGTGTGTTGTTTGTGTCGATATTTCTTTTGGGGATTATTTTACACAGGTCTATCGATTAACTTGACAAACACTTTTTCTTGACAATAAACGTGTATCATTATATTTATACAAAATATAATTTCATTGACCAATAATTCTGCAAGTGGACCGATATGCTAAAAAAATTTGATAAAAATTATTCAAAACTACTTAAAAATTTTGAAGTATTTATCTCATCACCGGTCGACCTGTGTAAATTATCATATATATGGAATCTTAATTTGTTTTGCTTCTTAAGACAAATAAATTTTTCTATATCTAAATTTGACACAGGTAATAAAATTTAATAGTTTGCCAAGAAAGTAATTTCGGTTTTTATGTGTGGAAACTAAAAATACTTTTTTTCCATCTAATATTTTCGGGTTTCTTCCAAAATTATTAAACGGGGACACATTATAATTTATAGTTTATTATAGGTTGTGAAATTAAAAAAATATATTTAATTTAAAAAAAAATCGAATATTTATCAGTTACGATTTATTATAAATTGATTGTAAATGTTATATATATATATTTATTGAAAATAATTTTACATAATAAAAATGATAAATAATCGATTTTTTATGTATTCTTTGCGATTATTTAGCAATAATACCGATGCTGCAGTACTTAGTTTTTTATTAGATTAATTTTATAATTTTACTTTGGCAATATCTAAAATATGGTTAAATATTGACAGAGTAAAATTGCAACTGTTTATAATAAATTTAGAACTAATGCAATGTTATAAATCATAAATTAAATATTTATAGCCTCGCTATTTATGATCAAAAACGTGAGGAGATTTTCAAATGACAACTTTAGCAATTATTTAGAAATAGTTGAATTTCACAGAAAATTTGTATATATGATTTTTTTTTTAAAATACCGATTATCAAAATTTTTTGGATTTTTTTTTTCACATCGGTGTTATTCTATATCGCAAAGTGTAATGCATGTCTGCATTTAGTTTAAATATACGTTTGCATGTTTTTACCTAGTAATTTCTTGTCTTTTTCTAAACGAATTTATTCTTATAAATCTGTAATGAATATGTCATGTTTTGTGTGTTGTGAATATTACTTAAGTTAAAGTATAATTTAATTATGTCAGTAAAGCCATGTATTACAATTAATACTCGTTTTATATAGGTATTTATTTATTACTTAGCATAATATAATATAGTTAAATATAATAATAATAAAATTGAACACAGATTAATTTTATAAATTTTCAAGAGAAATAATTTCTATAAAGTAATATACAGATTGGCGGTTAAGCAAAATTTAATTAAATAATGCAAAAATTAGCAGATAATGAGTCAATCAATACATTTGATATCAATAATCGATTAAAAATATCTGAGTTATTAATTCTATGGCATTTGTCCAAATTTTTTTGATTATCTCTTCCAGTAACAACATACCTCACAATAAATTATTTTATTGCAATAGTTTTGTGTATAAAGTTGTGTGTTTCTTTTCAAATATAATTTGAAAAACATAGGTATAAAGAAATATAAAATATTTGAATATCTGTACAGATACGTAATAACTTAACTAACAGTAATTTAATTTAGTTGTATAACATTGCAGAATTATAAAAATTTAAATCTTGTGCGAAGATTAATGTTTATAATTTCTTTACGTGTACTGTCATTTGTATATATATTTTATTTATCTGAATTGAATTTTTAAGATGCCGTTTCAAAATTTTTCAATTATATATAGTTGTATAAATCGTTTTGTAAGTAGGCAATGTATCTAATAATTTAGCCATAATGAATAGTAATATATGTATTTATCAACTCTTCAGCGATCCTAATGAACTTTTTCGCAAAATATCAGTGAATTACTTGACAAAATTCGATAGTTTCATTTTAAATGATTTTACAATACCTTTTATTTACCAGGATAAACTATTAGAGATTTATTTTTCCCGAAAAGGTTTATTGTGACGAGACTGTCATATGTGTTTAGAGTAAGATACGGGTACGGAACGAATGGATATTAATTTTAAGCTTTTGTAATTTATTACATTAAGGTATGTTTATATCAAACTTGGAATAGATATTTATAGAAAATAGTTGGTTTTGTTTTATTTATTTGCTGAAGAATTACAATTTTTGAGAGAACTAAAGCATCCGATTTGAATGATTCAAAAAACTTTCTTCTTATTTTGTTAAATTAATTGCTTTTGGAAAAAAAAATCGTTTAAATTTTTTTTTCCAAAAAATTTTTTTTTGTATATCAAAAATAATTCAATTTAAATTTTAAATCTGGCCGAAGTTCTAAAGCTCATTTACGTACTTTAAATAAATTCAACTTTGTGATTCAGTTTATATAATTCTTATAAATAAATATTAGACAATGTAACATGATTTATAATAATCTATTTAAAAAAAAATTAATATTTCTTGAACGGAAAGTTCCAGCAATTTGCCTTAAGGCACGATGCTATACACCACTAGTTAAAATTTTTTTGGTGATTTAATAAATCCTTGTATGATGATATCCTGGTCTGGTCTTTTTTTCTATATACGTCTTACAATCTTTGATGCTCCTCTGTGCAAATTAAACAATCAATCTTATTTCTACATTCTGTTGCTCTATGTCCATAGGCCTGATATTTAAAGCATCTTAAAATATTTAGGTCTTTGACAATATGAGCCATTTTCCAACCTAATTGTAAGTGTGTTATTTTCTATTAGCTTAGACTATGTTTCTCCGGATGTTTCTATGTATGTAATCTATTTTTGTGTTCTTTTCGAATGCCTTTGGTGAATGTCTTAATAAACATACTAAAATATTAGATGCCATCGAAAGGTAGTTTTAGTTATGAAAATATTAGAAGCCATCGAAAGGTAGTTTTAGTTATGAAAATATTAGAAGCCATCGAAAAGTAGTTTCAGTTATGAAAATATATCTGTTTAAATTACATAAATAGGCGCGATTTATTAATATATTGATTTTTATTAAGCTGATTTATTTATTTACTTGAATATTTATTTGAAAGGTTCGCGCAATTATCCTTAAGGCATAATGCCACTCACTCCTAGAAATTAAGAATCAATATTATATTTTTATCATTTGTCGATTTAGCTCTGACATAAACAAATGTAATTTATTTATTTGTCATTTTTTATTTTAAGCAATCAAGTAACCATGGTAAATATTAAACAAATGAGTTCGCAATACATTTTTCGGCGAAAACGTTCGTAGATATTTTTCAACAATTTTTTAAACGATTTTTCCAAAGATTATTGCATCGCAACGTTACTAATTTCATAAAAACATTAAAGGACAAAGATTGCTTTATTGACGTGTAAATTCTTTATAAAAATTTTCGGATTTCAAAATTTTGAGGTTTTGGCTCCAGAATCGAGGATTTGAGAAGGTTGACACGGGACATAAATTGGAGCTGGTTAACGAATTTCAAAGTTTTTGAAATTTGACTTCAGAATCCAAGATTCAACTAAGCCATTCTCCAACCTAAGGGTAAATTATTTTCTGTTAGCTTAGAGTATGTTTCTCCCGATGTTTTTATGTATGTAATCCATTTTTGTGTTTTTTTCCTTTGGTGAATCATTTTTAGTTGATCCGACTCGTTTGTTATGTCTTATAAATAAACATACTGAAATATTAGAAGCCGTCGAAAAGTAGTTTTAGTTATGAAAATATATTTAGGCGCGAATTCGTTTTTCAATTATGTATAATAATTAAACAACTCTTTGAAAATAACTATGTTTGTACTAATTATTCAAATTGGATAGCCTGCAATAGTTTTTCACATTATAATGATCTACACCAACTCGGTATACTTATTAATATATTAATTTTCAATTGATTAAGCTGATTGATTTATTTACCCATGTTAAAAGGTTTGCGCAAATATCCTTAAGGCATAATGCCACTCACACCTATAAATTATAATTTTTGTTACATTACATTTGTTTATGTCAGAGCTAAATCGACAAATGATAATAATAGGATATCGATTATTATAATATCGATTATTATATAAAGAATCGATATTATATTTTTATCATTTGTCGATTTAGCTCCGACATAAACAAATGTTGTCATTTATTTATTTTAAGCAATCAAGTTTTAAGCAATAAAAATTAAACAAATGAATGAGTTCGCAATAATTTTTCGACAAAAAAGTTCGTAGGTATTGTTGAACAATTTTCGAATCGTTTTTTTCAAAGATTATTACGTCGCAACGTTTCTAATTTCATAAAAACGTAAAAGGACAAAGATTGCTTTATTGACGTGTAAATTCCTAATAAAAATTTTCGGATTTCAAAAATTTTGATTTTTGATCTAGAATCCAGGATTTGAGAAGATTGACCCTGGACTTCAATTGGAGCTGGTTATTATTTGGAACCCGTTAAGAATATTGAAAGATGAAAACCTCATTGATCTTAGTAATATGTCTAGGTGCGTATATAATATATTTAAAAATATTTTGCATGATAAAGTATTTTAATTAATTATCTTAATATTTATGTTGTTCTCAAATTATATGGATATACTTCAAAATGATATTGATATAATGATAATAATGGGTGGTACTGCCTTTCGTGAGCTGAGTTAAACTCTAACTCGTTTCTGGGAATAGTGTGAGCGATTTCCCGTTGCCATTTCGCACCGCAGTGCCCGAGATGGGCTTATTTTTAATTGGAAACATATTTTGATCTATATTTTCTTGTAATCTAAAATGGACATTGATACATAAAGTATAATAGCGTAATTTTAAATTTTTCATGTTTTGATTTTTTAGTTGGATTTATTCAATATTCATGAAGAATATGCATATGATTTACAGAAAATGTTGTAAATTTGAAATTAAAAAAAAAAAATCAGAATTTTCAAAGAAATTCAAGATTTCAAAAAAATTAAATTTTCGAATTCTCATAATTAAAAAAAAAATGAAAAATTAAAAAAAAATTCAATATTTAAAAAAAAATCGATGTTTCACAGAAATTTGAAAATATTTCGAAATTTTGAAAGAAATCGAATATTTTCAAAAAATTTCAAATCTAAAAATTTTTTTAAATTAAAAAAGTTTTTTTTAAAAAAAAATCCAAAAAATTTCATAATTATGAAATAAATGGTTTTTAATTAGATTTTTTGATAATTTAGAAATTATTTCATAATTATGAATTTTTTTGGATTCTTATAAACATAAATAGTTGTTTGCAGAATACGCTCGTCGCCCAATTTAATAAGCACTTATAAATTTACAGTATGTATTTATAATAAATAATCTATTTGAAATTATTCAAAACAAAAATTGACTATATTTTCATTTCTCGGATGTTTAATAACGGTATGGGAAGTTCCAGCAATTTGCCTAAAGGCACGATGCCATGCACCTCACTAGTAGTATTATTTGTGTTTAATTACGGTACGGGAAGGTCCAGCAATTTGTTTTAAAGATAGATCATGAAAATGTAGACAATGCCATATGCCACTATATAATAATTTGTATATAACTCTCCCTATATATATTTTATTTACCTGATTTATTGAACTCAGGGTGGGCATTGATCTGGCAACTGGAGGCCCGTTCTATCAAGAAGACCAGAGGCGTATTCTATCCTGATGGCATCACCCCAATTCGATCTTTGAAAACGAAGAGAAGGTAAATGTTTGGTATTAATAAATTTTTTGTAGCATATTGTATGTGCTCAAAGCCTTTTGGAAATAACTATCTTATGTGTATGAACTTTTGCGTTATAAGGAACAACTTTTACTCGACATCGTTCATGTTTCACCCTTATGATTTAAAACACTTGATTCTTAATGTTAAACTAAAATCAAAGGGAATTTAAATTATATATGTTTGTTTGTAATAGCTACATTTACAAAAATTTGGAAGTGTAAAATTAAATACATGCCGTTGAAAATGTTATTCTTCAGATAAATTATACGCGAGTGGATTATCATATAAAATCTTAAATTCTTATTTGCATTTGCATGCAAGAATAATTAACATACATAATTATGACAGAAATTATGAGTTTGAAAAACCAATTGCAAAAATTGTTTTTTGGAGAAAATGATGAAATTTGAAAACCGATTTTTTAGAAATAAATATCGGCTTTAATGAAACTTTTTGGAAATGACGAATGAAGCCTAAGTGTACCAGATAGCTATCTAATCTAGATATGTTGCAAAATAATGTTATAAGAAATATAATAATATTTTATATAAATATAAAAACATATGTTAATATAAATTTAGATATTTTTGCCATATGGCAATTTTAATAAAAAACACAAGTTTTTTCTTAATTACTTTTAAAACTAGAACTTCGACTTTTGGTTTTGATTATGATTTACATTTTTAATACACATTTTCTAATTGTTTGTAATTAGTATCCTACTCTATCTAATAATACTGTTTTTTTTAAACAATACATGGATATTGTAAAAATTTAAAAATATAATTTAAAATATTTGTATTATTGAAAACTTGTTTCGCTATCATAAAAACATTTACATTCTATGTAAAAATTAAGCATAAATAACGAATATTTTTTTTAAGTTACGTAATTATTGTCAACTATTATTTTTTTTATTAAAAACTGTTTTATTGTCAATAAAATTTAACAGTAAATAACTTAGTCAAAAAATGCTTTGGGTGGTTTTTTGTTCGAATCTGTAAAAATTACTAACCAAAAACCGATTTTCTAATATGTCGGCTTTTATATATCACACAAACCGTATTACGTAATATAATGAAAAAATATCTGTTATCTATTCTCTATACAAGCAGTTGTTTGAATTTGTAATTTGTATTAAATTAGTATTTTTTTTAGTGACATTGACAAGATTATGAAACCCAGAATTTGTAAACAGTCTCCACCACATGTAATAAAGTCATCCCAAACATATGATCCAGGGGAGAAAAACATTGGTAAATTTTATGATAAATTATAAATTAATGAATAATTTTGCATTTATATTTGTTTAAAAATAAATCATTATTTTAGGTGAAAATTCTGATTATACAATTCAAAAAGAAGACGATAATCCTATACTTGGGTTTAAATGTAACGTAGCTGATCACTTCAACTACCCTGCCATAATAATTAAACAACAACGGAAGGAGAAAGAAATGGCCAAAATGGCTGAAATGGCTCGTAATGAAACGGCCAAAATGGCTGAAATGGCTCGTAATGAAACGGCCAAAATGGCTGAAATGGCTCGTAATGAAACGGCTCGTAATGAAGCGGCGAAGGTGAACAAGACTACAAGTTCGCCTAAAAAAGTAAATTTAAAAGTGGCTGTCTCTCCTTCCAATGAAACAGTAAATATCAACAAAACTGATATTCTGCCTAAAGGAGTAAATAATACGGTAACGTTGAACGATACTGATAGCAGACCTAAAGGAGTAATTTTAAAAGGGGCCGGCACTCCTTTTAATAGAACGGTGAAGGTGAATAATACTAGTAGTTCCACTAAAGGAGCAAATTTAAAAGTGGCTGACACTACTTTTAATAAAACGGTAATGGTAAACGATACAGATAGCAGACCTAAAGGAGTAATTTTAAAAGGGGCCAGCACTACTTTTAATAAAACGGTGAAGGGGAACAACACGAATAATTTGCCTAAGGGAGAAAATTTAAAAGTAGCTGACACTCTTCCGAACAAAACAATAATAATAAACAAAGATTTAAATTATTCGCCTAAAGCGGATAATATAAGTATGACTGATACTCTTTATAACAAAACAAGTAAATTGAACAATGATCAGAGAGTTACTTCAGCTAAACCAGATCAAGAACAACTGGCTAATACTACTAGTACAACAGATCATTTGAACAAAGATCTTAGTGTTAGTTCAACTAAACTAGATAAAGAACAAATGGCTATTACTCCTCCTAGTGCTACAGATAATTTGAACCAAGATCTCGGTGTTACTGCAACTAAACCAGATAAAGAACAACCAGCTAATACTCGTCCTAACATAACTGATAAGTTTAACAATGATCAGAGTGTTACTTCAGCTAAACCAGATCAAGAACAACTGGCTAATACTACTAGTACAACAGATCATTTGAACAAAGATCTTGGTGTTACTTCAACTAAACTAGATAAAGAACAAATGAATATTACTCCTCCTAGTGCTACAGATAATTTGAACCAAGATCTCGGTGTTACTGCAACTAAACCAGATAAAGAACAACTAGCTAATGCTCGTCCTAACGTAACAGATAAGGTTAAGAATGATCAGAGTGTTACTTCAGCTAAACCAGATCAAGAACAACTGGCCAATACTACTAGTACAACAGATCATTTGAACAAAGATCTCAGTGTTAGTTCAATTAAACTAGATAAAGAACAAATGGCTATTACTCCTCCTAGTCCTACAATTAAGTTGAACAAAGATCTCAGTGTTAGTTCAACTACAGATGGTAATGAAATCTTAGCTACTACTCCTAAGAACAATGATCTCACTGTTGGCTTGCCAAAAGCAATTATGACTGACACTCCATCTAACAAAATGGATGATGTGGACTATCATTTGAATGCTGGTTTGCCTGAACCAAATAATGAAAATATATCTGTCACTGTTCCTCATGAATCAGAGATTTTGATTCTAGACATACCTGATATTATGCCTGAAACCGGTAATGAAAAAGTGGCCGATACTCCTTCTGAAGATAATGAACAAACGTCCGATACTGCTCCTCATGAATTAGATATTTTGAATGTAGATATTGATAACAATGATAGTTTACCAAAACCAGGTAATGAAAAATTGCCTGATACTCCTCCTCAAGATACAGAGAACCTAAACATAGATATAAATAATATACAGACTAAAGCAGATAATGCAGAAATGACCGTTATTTCTAATACTCCAGAGGTGCCGCACTTCAGTGACTATTCGCCTAAACTGATCAAAGATTGGAATGATGTACCTAAAGTAGATAACGTGACTGAATTAGAGGATCCACTAAGTGCAAAAATTTTTGATTTAACAATTAACAATAAGAGGTCTGTGTGTAGACTCTAATTTGGATGCTATCGATCTGAAAGAAGTCAATCAGAGTGAATCAGCAAAAGATGATGAGAGTAACCTACTTGTACCCGATCTTCGAGACGAGCGTATAAAATTTATAGAGAAAAGTAGAATGCACTCGATAGAGCTCGATAAATTTTTATCACAGTTATTTAAAACAAATGTATCTGTGCATAACAAAGAAACTCATTCTA